GTTCTCACAACAATAAGCAGTGCAATGTTTTAGTGCGAAAAGAGAACCTAGAAAAGTGTAACGTTTAACACGTTGAGAAATCGTGAACACGTTCCTCTGGTCGTTTTTAAGACGACACTTGAGGTCAGCAAATAACAGTGAGCTGTTTTTACTAACCACCGAGATTCAACAGCGTCTCGAAGCCACTTTCTCGTACTTTTGGCAGGCCCTGCTGGGCTATGGTGACCGCGAGAACATCCAGTACGCCTGTGGTGGCTCCCTCATCGCCCCCGACTTCATCCTCACGGCCGCACACTGCGCCAGTCTCTCCGGGTGAGTCTGTTTGTCATAGGTCCCGGTATTTTGAACCTATTTTTAACGTACAGGGTGGTCCACAGACCCCTTCCTTTATTTTGCTTATACTGTACCAAATGTGGGCGTGCGGGTGAGCTTGCCTGCCGTCGCTCCACCGCGGCGCCTTACGGCCCCATGCGAGTATGCAACCCGTCCGCATGCCTGCATCCGGCACAGTATAAGCAATATAAAGGAAGGGGTCTGTGGACCACCCTGTATTGTAGCTCTTATTTTGAAGATAATGGTTATGGCTGATGCCCTTTTCTCATAACAAATCAGTATGGCGGCAGATGTTGCAGGTGACGCGTACCGAATCCGGCACAACTTGTCGTACGCGATCTATCTGCTTGTCGCAATCGACCTTTGTGTGCAGATTGGGGTCTTTGCGGTGCAGATGTATGCTGTTTAGCCTCTGGGACATGTCCACGCACGGCTTAAGGCTCAGGTGCAGGTCCACAACGCCAGCCGCCTCAATGCGGATCGTCACGGTCTGCACGGAGGAGGCGAACCCCTTCCACATGGACAGCTGTACCATAACAGGAAGATGAACGTACAGCGATTTGAGCCCGCGGCCGGCTGGTTGCGGAGGGAATTCCGCAAGGCGGCCGTCGTTCGCGACCACCTTGATGTTCTTGATGTTTGGCATCATGCTCAGCAAATGGAAGTGAACGGACTGGACCTGTATACAGAAGTAAAAACGAAGGCTGATAGTGGTAATAGTGAACCCCGTGAAAGAGCGAACGAACCGGTACGCGCTTTAGGAGCTATAATGGTCCCCGTTCGTTCGCGCGTTCACGACACGCTCGTTCTCTCACTTGGTTCCCGAGAAGCCCCCGGATGCATGCTTTGGCCGAAATGCATTAAGTCGCATAAGTCTATAGGTCTACGATTCGCTGATTTCGATTACATTCCCGAGTTTCGACATTGACGTCCATTTGAAGTCGAATTTGACTGCCAATTCCTGACTGGGTCCCCCCCCC